AGTTCAACCAAGTCCAACCAAAAAAGTATCAAAAGATCAAAGTCTAAAGATTAAGCCATGAGGTTAAGATACCCACAAGAGGGTCCAAGAAAGCAGCAGAACACAACCTGTATGCTCATGAAGAAGTCAAGATGCCTGCCAACAGGCAGGTGATTGTTCCAACTAGAATAGCTATAGAGTTACCTTAAAGCACCTATGATTATATAGTACTATGCAGCAGTCTCGCAGTCAAACTCAGACTCACTACCAATGCGGGAGTAATAGACGCTAGCTATACAGGTGAATTGAAGGTTGTCATGGTCAACCAGAATGACAAAGACTATAAGGTGGAAAAAGGCGAAAGAGTCGCACAATTGACGATCAAGAAGATCAACGAACAGGAACTCCAAGAAGCAGAAAGCCTAACCAAGACTACTAGAGGGACCAAAGGTTTTGGCAGCACGGATAACAAAAGGCCAACGAAAAAGGACCTACTAAAAATTGAAATCAATCAGATATCAGCACAGGCATTCCGAAAGCTTTACCACAAAGGAGAAACAGCAGGAATCATTAAATAGGATTTCCAGGATAAAGGAACAAGTCCAGCCCAGATCAATATTAGTATAGCACTAGCCATAAGGAAGCGACCCCGAACAAAAGAAGAGAGACTAGACAAAGTTATTCAAACAGAATACTATTACCATTTGGACCTATTTCAAGAAAAAGAATCCACCATGTTACTGCCTCACAGGAATGGCGTAGACTTGGAAATCAACCTTGAGGAAGGCAAAACCATACCTCAAAGAAAGATATACCCTTTGGGAGAAACTGAACTCGAGGAACTAAGAAAATACCTTCAACAAAACCTGGACAGCGGTTGGATCAAACAATCATAAGCCAAGGGAGGATGACCTATCTTATTCGTCAAGAAAAAAGAAAGAAAGCTGAGGTTATGCATCGATTATCAAGCAGTCAATAGCATAACCAAGGAGAATAGATATCCCTTACCTCTAATCAGGGAAGCAGTAGATCGACTAGCATCAGCCAAATACTTCACTAAATTAGACATAAGGATACCTATTACAATATGAGAATCAAGAAAGAAAACGAATGGCAGACAACATTCACCTTAAGATATGGAAGGTACCAATATCTGGTTATGCCCTTTAGGCTAACTAACGCGCCAGCATCATTCCAACATTGGATCAACAGGGTACTCAACAAATACCTCCATACATGCTGCGTAGTGTACTTAGACAATATACTCTTATATTCCGAAAATATAGAATACCAACGTGATGTTGGCAACATTATAGCCAACATTAAGGCTTCTGGAATGAGGTGCAAACCTAGCAAATGCGAATTCCACAAGAAAGAAACCAAATACCTGAGATTCATCATCAATGAGAAAGAAGTCAAATGGATCCAAGTAAGACCAAAGCAATATAGGAATGGGAATACCCGAAAAACAAAACAGACATATAATGTTTTATGGGATTCTACAATTTCTATTGAAGGTTTATAGAAGGATTTAGGTGAATGGCTAAATCCCTATACAACCTAACCAAGAAAGACGCCAAACGGAACTGGAAATCCAAAGAACAACAAGCCTTTACTGAACTAAGGACCAAAATCACCCAAGAACCAATACTGGTACATTTCGACCTAAAAAGGGATACTATGATAGAAACAGATGCTTCCAAATATGTATGCTCAGGTCTACTATCACACAAAAGTAAAGACAAGAAATGGAGACCAGTGGCCTTCTGATCTAAGACCATAACCCCAGCAGAATGCATCTATGATGTCCATGACAAAGAACTATTAGCAATAGTTCAAGCATTGAAAAAATGCAAAAGATATGCCCAAAATAATACCCAGGTGAAATTACTCATGGACTACAAGAACTTGGTACCCTTCATGACCATGAAGGAACTAAATAAACAACTGATAAGATAGATGGAGAAACACTGCACTTACATCTTCAAGATCGAGTATCATCTAGGAAAAGAAGGAGGAAAACCTGATGCATTAACACAAAGGTCAAATAACACACCACAAGACTCTCAAGATGAGAGGATCAAATAAACATAACAAGTATTGTTACCACGAGAGAAATATCTTCAACAAGAAGAAGAAGACAGCAGATATGAATTGCTCAACTAGATAAATGTAAGGATGACATTAGAAGACGATATCCAGAAAGAAAGTTCACATGACAAAACAATCAAGGAAATAATAGAAAAACTGGCAAAGGGCACAAAGGAAACTAAAGGCATAGCCTTGGGACTATGTCAATAGAAAGACAAATACTTATAGTACAATGGAAAAATATAGGTACTAGATAAAGAAGGATTGTACATGGAAATCATATGACATCATCATGACCCTCCTTATGCAGGACATGGGAGAACAGCGAAAACTACCCAATTCATCAACTGACGATACTACTAGCTAAAGATAAGGGAAGACATTAAATGATATGTCAGAAATTACGACATGTACCAACACACCAAAGTGGTACCACATACACCCTACACGTTACTCAAATCTAATGCAGTACCTGAAAAACCATAGAAGTCTATCTCTCTAGCCTTTATTACCGAACTACCAATGTCAAATGATCAAAACACCATATTAGTTGTAGTAGATTGCCTGACCAAAATAAGTCACTTCATACCATACAGAACGGATATAACGGCATGGCAATTTGCTATGTTATTCCTGGAAGAAATATACTGTCTGTACAGATGACTGAAAGGCATTATCAGCGATAGAGAATCACTGTCTATGTCAGAAGTATGGAAAGAAATAATGGAGAAGCTAGCAATCAAAAGAAGAATGAGCACAGGATAGCATCCTTAAATGGATGAACAAACAGAAAGGATCAACAGTGTACTAGAACAATATCTTCGCATATATGTTAACTATGGATAAGATGATTGGTGTAAATGGCTACCTATGGCTGAAATGGCATACAACAATGGCAAACATCAAACAATTAAGACAATACCCTTCTTCGCAAATTATGGCCTACATCCAAAACATGAGACTATAGGTCATATGCTTAAAGAAAAGATAACAGATAAGAAAGACATAAGTCAACTACACAACACATTAAGAAACAAAATAGTTACGGCACAACTAAGACAAAAAGAACAATATAGTCACTACTGGAAATCCGATCCAAACCTACAATCAGGAGATATGGTTTGGTTACTACCACGCAACATCAAGATCCTGGGACTGACAAAAAAACTGGATTACAAGAAGATAGGACCATTTAGGATCTTGGCAAAAATAGGAAGTCGTGGTTATAAACTTGACCTCCCACCCGCAATGAAGATATACAATATCTTCCATATCAGCTTCCTCAAACACTATCAAGACAATCCTCTACCTTCATAAGAAAAACCACTACTACTACCTATTGAAATAGATGGTTAATCAGAATACAAGCTCAAAGAAATAATCGATTCTTAATCACACTATGGTCAGTTGTAATCCAGAGCAAAGTGGACAGGATATTCACCCAAACACGATAAGGCCTGGTACCCGGCCAATAACTTCAATAATGCCCAAATTGTAATCCAACAATTCTACCAACAATACCCAAACAAGCCAACAACTGAGCGTGGAAGACACACACGAATCTGAATATGTGGCACTAAGGCTGCTCTGGACCCACTCTTACTACTGAGATCATTCCCAGGTAAATTTGGAACTACTCCCGATAAATTCAGTACTCCAACAGACTCTGGAATATGATGTGTTCAAACACATCACCCCAACAAGTCCAGGATATCGAACTCTAACACCAATCAAAGAAGAGCCCAGCAATGAGAATTAGGTAAATCTGGTAGATTTACCCCGGTCAAGAACACCAACAACTGAAAGGAAACACATGAACCTGTCTTAGGATTTCACTCTGTTGATGTGAGTTGCTCACCTGACTTGATTATTGAGTTTTGATTAGTTTTAGGTATATTGTATAGCAACTCATAGAAGTCAGCTGAGTGATTTCACATGACTCATAGTTATGAGTCACAAGGTTCGCATGACGAGAGGTTTGTGTCACATCAGATGAAGAGCAACTATATAAAGGGTCACTAGGACTCTGAGTATGAGATCTTCATACATTTTTCTAGTTTATTTCCTACAACTATTATTTTATAATAAAACATCTTTATACTCTCTACTCTACTTTAAGAACCTGGAAACTATCTTTCCTTCCACAATGCAAGAATAAGTCCCCAGCGAGAACTTAAGAAGTTTAGAGGAATAGACGCGATAAGATAGAGTTCGAAGGACTTGACTATCGACATGGTGTAGGCAAACGCCTGAGAACTATCACCTCATGCTGAAGTAAGAATCGTTACCTGTCGCACTTCCTCCACGCTCAGTAGGATTCTCAACACATACCTATAACTCAAAATCCCAAGCTATGTAAAATCTGCCTTGCTTAGTCACAGTTTGTAACATATAGTTATTACCTCTTTTATTTGTATATACCAAATAATTTAAGCAAGCTGTGTTTACCTCTAACTGATGTAGATATATCCTCAACATCTTGAGGATGGCTGGTAGTAGCATAGCACTTGAGGATTCCCTGGCACAAATGCGCCACCCATTATTTTTTGTCAAAATCGTACAATTTCTGGATTGCACCAGCAAACTCTCTCCTTCCTCAGTATCTAAGAATTAATGGTCACCTTGCAACCCCTCTCTTCAAACCATTACAATTGCACAGGAACAGCGTGCATTTGCATCTTGCTAGGTTTAGTCTGTTACTAACAACAAAAACGCAACTCTAACGACTTTCTAACCTTAGTCACATCCCGGGCACGGTTCAGGACATATCAATATCACCACTGACCCACTGTAGCCAGATATGTAACTCAGGCCCCACCCAAACACTGCCCGCAAGATCAACTAATCCCAGAAGCTCCGTAAAAATCGCCAATAAAGCCGCTATCCTCCTTTCCCCTTGCAAACAAGAGGTGTGGGAGAATTGGCAACCATCACAAAACCTCTTGAGCCGTGCTCTGCTCAACCGCCTTCGGCTTTTTCGCTTCCTCCTCTTTGTCGTAGGCCTCTTTGATCCAGTCGTTCAAGCCACCTCGATTGCGTGCGATCTCAATTGCATAGAACTACAACGCTTCTTAGTCAGGTACTAGCGTAGAAGCCAAACAGGGAGGAGAAAGGGTAAACACGCCTGCATCCGGGGAACTATGCCAGCAGAACTCTACTTCAGCATCAATTACCCAACAAGCCTCGTCAGGGGAGGCTCACCAAAGATAGTGGTATCCTTCTCATACTCTACCTTCGCATCCGTTCTCAGTAGCGTGCCAAAATTGTAATCCTCGACCTATTATTTTCCTGCCGTCAATTCCACCTTCGGACCTCTCCGCTTCCCCCTCTGCGAGATTGAAACTCACCCTCTTCTCATACTTTATCAAAAAGTTTCTCCACTTCTCTTTGCCAGACTTGCTCTTCATCTCCTCCTCATTGAGCTGCTTCCCGGGATCAAAGTCCGGGAACGTCTCGAGAAGGTGATCATATATCTCCTGGTCCATTCGTGTGAGGCGTAGATCAGTTCCCGCACGCCGCTCAAGGATTGACCAGTAGGTTTGGGCGTGGATGACCGCTGAAGGAATTTATTCGTCAGCGTTGATCTTTCTAACCTACGGAGCGGGTGAGCAGGCGATCGGTAATCCGGAAAATACCTTTTACCGCAAATTGCTTTTCTATCTGTGAAGGACGGGCATCCGGGTTAGTGCTAGCCTACATCATGGGAGACAAGCAAGGGCCGTACGTCTTGTAAGTTTTGCGCACCCTCGGCTTTGAAGTCCTTAGGTATTGACATTTTGGAAGAAGACTGTGGACCCCAGCTGTTGGTGCGTAGCGAGAGAAGAGCGCGTCATAGCAATACCGGTACCGGTAAGGCATCCTCCTCCCGGAGGTGAAAATATTCCCCGCCATCTAATCTTATCCGATCTAGACACCGATACCACCAATCTATCACCCCCAATCACTCGGATCTCGATCAGCTGTCATGCGTCGCTACAAGTAGGATCTAAATTTAACATTAACTTATCACCCGATTAAGAATTAGTCGATAGGTACTGTAAACGCATAGATAAATAATATGTCATAATTCATTAACCCCCAATCCCCAGCTAGAAATACAAGCGTGATTGGACTACAATACAACTGAACCCTCAACCAGTACTCCCACCCCGCCCCCGAAACCCATAAGTGTCAATACTAGCAATGCAAAGCCCCAAGCCCGGCTCCAGACTTCGTCTGGAGGCATCCTCAAACAAAAAAGGCTACGTAAAACGCCATGATCCAACCCCTCAGCCTGCCTCCCCTGCCGGATCCCAGAACGCATGCAAAACTAGGATCGGTCAATCAACCAATCACATGATCTCACATCACGTCGGCTGCCTGGACAGCTGGTTTCGAAGATTTTGATTTTCCTGTCTGGCCATTTGGACTTCGTGGCTCAAGTTGCGGAGGAGTATATCCTGCTGCCGAAACCGCTCACTCATTTCCGCCCGCATGTCGGTCACTTCTGATTTGAATGCTATTTGCATCTCCATAACCATGTTACGCAGAGCAGATCTCAGCTCAGTGTTTTCGGGCCCTGGCAATCGCATTCCGATTGGAGAGAAGGAAGCCGATCCCGAAAAGCTACCGGTGGTCGGAGGGCGGTAGGGAGGGCTTGATATATCTTGCCCAGAGCCTTCAGGTTCCGGGGAGCCGCTGTCCAAAGGCCCAGGAGGAAAGGAATGGTCTCCGGTATCATGTATTATAGGAGCGTCCCGAATCATTCTTGTTTCGTCCTTCCAGGAAACAGTTTTACGGCTTTTGAAAGAGCTGGTGAGAGACCGCTTACTTCCGCTAGAGTCTTCAAGGCCTAGGAGCGTTTCGGCTGCCTGGTCAGCATTAGATTGCTTCCGCTTGCGACTCCTTCTAGCCTCTTTCCCCTCCACTAGCCAAATATCTGCTTCAAATGACTCGTCATCAACATCCTTGGCCTCATCATCAGCAACAGTGGTAACTGTTTCGTCTACAGCTTGTGGAGCAGCTTTACCCCCATCACCACTTCCATCCATTACCCCAGCAGCTCGTGCTCTGCTCGAAGACTCAGGCCTTAGGTCGGTCGCCAGTCTCTCCGGACTACTTCTCTTTTCCCTAGCAACCCCTGAGCTTAGGGAGTGTTCCTTTTTGGACTTCCCTGGCATATAGGGAGCGAAGAGTGCCAGGTTACCGCGGACCGGTCTACCACTCTGTCCCATAACTCTTTCCCTCACTGACCGAATATCACTCAGCAATTTTCCATCATGTGTCTTGTCACTAACTTGTTGTCCCTGAGAAGTCCCAGAAGGGACACGCTGGACAGTGACAGATGATTCAGTGGTCATAGTATACTTCCAGTCCCGGCCCTGTTTATGCACTGCTTTCCCTTCAGTTTTGGTCATAGTGTTCGGTGCCTGGGCAGGACCGTCGTTTCTTATTACCTGTGCAAGAGGTAGTGGGGTCTTTTCCCCAGACTCACTCCATAGGGATGGGGCGCCCACGGAACTCCGCTGGGTTTCCATCTTTAGAGCTCGTTCCTGGGGACCCAAGTTCTGTTTTGACGGGGTTGGCTTCTTCTCATCCATAGATGAAGCCCTGGGTGGTCGCTTCTTCTTCACGGGACTGAAAAGTCTCATGTAACCTTGATCGGCCACTTCTCCAACATCCTTCGATTCCAGTTCCTCTTCCATGCCCAGTTTTGGAAAGGAATTCCCGATATCTCTACCCCTAGTGGTTGTGGACTGGTGCTCCGGTGAGCGGGATGGGTTTCGATTTTCGGTGGTTAGACGGCCCCCAGCTCTGGTTCTTAGCCCTTCCCGTGCTTTGGTAGGAGGTTCAGGACCGGACCGCGAGCGTTTGCGGGAGGACAAATTTGGATCGTAGGTTCCCGACCCCAGTGGAATACATACATCGCCAGCAACCTAATACACATCAGTCAGTTCAATAGGTGAATGCAAAAAAAAAGCACAGCTAGTGTCGAAGAACACGGGCAACTACTCACCCACTCAACCCCAAGGACCCGCCCTCCCTCAGCATCAACAATCTGCTCGCCAATCTTGTTTCCATGGCCGTTGTAGACGTAACACTTGCCATGGACGGATCCAACAGCGACAAAATAAGCTTTCGGGTCATCGTGATCGCTGTTCTTCCCTGCCGTAGTTCTCACAGCCAGACTTGTAGCTGGGGCCCCTATATGCCAGCTTCCGAGCGTGTCACGCATACCAAAATCCACAAGGAAAATTCTCCCGTCTTCACCTACAGTGACAGCCCTACTCCGGTATCCAGGGAGAAATTGTATACCAGTGATGCCCGACGACCCGGCGACACTAGAGTCGTGTAAATGGCGAAATGTATGAATCTCTTTCAAGCCCCCTTGTCCGATACCTACTCTATCATCTCTCCTCGCGCTTGTCCCTCCTGATATCTTGCTATAGTCGTAGGCGGCGAGAACACCATCGCTGAATACAAGGACAAATATGTTGCGGCGAGTAGGATGGAATACGCAGATGTTTACCGAAGCCTTAGAAGCATGAGGGACGACGGCAACGGTGGTCGTCAATAGCCGGTTGTAAACTTGAATCACTGGAGGATCTGCGGAGCAGGATAGGATGAGGTTCGAATCGCATGATATGGCAAATGAAACGACGGCTGACGGATGGGCCTAAGAAACGGGTAAGAAAGATAGGAGAGCAGTGATAACACTGTCAGGCAAGAGAGAAACGATACCTTTGCAGCGTCAAATACTTTGTTTTCCTTCAAGGAATAAGCTCGGACACTATTATGAATAGAGTCAGTGAAGAAGAGAGACCGCGATTCATGATCGTATTGTAATAGGCGGCAATGCTAGATGAATCAGTAGTATTCCCTATGCTAAAATAAAATCCAAACAGTGCATACCTGCGCGCCCTTCAGTCGATAAGATTTATTCTGTCCCTCCTCTATCTGATGCAGCATAACAGCCTCAGAGTCGGCAATCGCCAGGACGGAACCATCCTTTGCACCCTTCGCTGCGACAATGCCATCGGACCCAGATGTGAAAACATGATTACAACCATCACGATCCCAAACACGCACCATACTATTTGTCGTAATAACCAGCTTCCATTGTTTATCATCTTCGAAAGGCGCAGAATTTGTGAATGTTGAGTTTACTAGAGAGACCGAAGGTTTCCTTTGTGATTTTGTACGCTTGGAGCTTGAATAGGGAGAGGTGAGTATGGTTGGGAGTGACATGGCTATTGACAGCTCTCGCATTCAGCAATGAGCCGGGGAAAGTCTGTAGTTTTTTTCTCAGGAGGATAGTGGTTGTTGATTCGATTTCTCGAGGGTGTTGATGCGGTATATGATTGATTCTATGGTGAAAAGTTGTGTTGACGAAGTATTATAAACAAACATCCATGCACATCCTTACTCTGCTCCCCCCTCTAACCCTCTACCGGTACACACCCATGGAGTATGCCGGGGAGGCTCTGCTCAATCCATGCCCCTGCATTGAGCTTCACCATGACTGGATCCTCTTCACCAGACGCATAAACATTGCAGCGAATCGGAACCCATCTAGCTAGCGACTCTTATGTGCTTTTAATTTAATACGTAGAGATGCTAACAAAAGCGCGGTAATATTCATGCACAGCCCTTCTGCTATCTGAGTCCTCCAAAAATTATGTTGTCTCGTTGCACGAGTACTAGTACTATACTTGTGGCACATTCAGGAATTCATGTTGATCCAGTACTACCGTAGCACTAGCTCCGGTACCAGTACAGCGCCAAATTAACAGTTACCTACAATCCACCGTGAGGCGCTCCATCGATTACACACATTGTAAGCGCTACGATTAATGTGGAGTAGGCTTTTTCACCACAAGCTTTTCATATGGTACACCTCTGGACATTGTAGCATAGAATAACCCTGAAGACCCCAACGCCATTAAGCTCATGCAACTCATGCCTCAAACCTGGTGGCGGGGTTCACTAAATAGCTTTCACCATGCAAACAGACCCAAAAGCATTAACCAGAAGCAAGACTACTACGTGAACAGCAAGTAAGATAATTGTCGCAAAGAAGGAGGGCCTGAGAGAAATCCGAGTTAGTAATAAGCGGAGACAAAAGGAGCCAGAGAGATACATACGTTGCGAAATCCAACGCCGCCACAGAAAGCAAGGGATAAAAAAAACAAGGCTTCGTAGCTGAGGGGGAGCATGGCCCTGTCAAGGTTGCAACCTATGTGACTTGTCAGCGTACACCACAACCCTTATGAGGTTGACAGCCTGCCTTGATCAAGAAGGTCCCCAACTTCAAGAGCAAATACCACTGGGCGCGTGCTAACCACACCCCGGTCCTAATCCTCCAAGGCACGACTCCAGGCAAGACTCCGGGTGACTTCATTGCTTCCAGCCTCGACCTCAACACCAACGACGATTCCGAATCTCGGGCAATCTGAGTGCTAATAACGGAGCCCGAAGCGGGACTCTCCCCCGGCCGAGACCCAACACCAAGCCTTGACGCCCTTTTAGGAACCTTCATCACTGGTCGTGGTTTGGGTGATCTCTTGAAGGTATCGTAACCCTGGCGCATGGACGGGCTTCCTACAGGAGTTGAAGGTGGAGGTGTATCTGCAACAGGAGAGATTCGACGGAAACCAATGAGATTCCGATCATCTGCAACGATGGCTGGCTTCTTCTGCGAGACGGAAGAACCCCGGCGCTACATGTCATTAGGCAGAAACTCAAATAAGAGTTAGAATGAGGATTCAATTCTTACCAAAGGGGTGCCTTCTTGCATCTCAATGCCCATTAGTATTTCCTCTGCCGTAGGCCGAACACTGGGGTCTGGACTGATCAGCGCCATCAAAGACTGATAAAGTCTCTCGGGCAAATCAGGTCTGAGCCTTGTTCTTTCATCAAGGCCTGGCCATGCCATGATCTCCTCCCGCAAGGTATCCAGGTTCTCGTTCTCCTCGTTCATCATATCAGCACCGACATAAGGCAGATTACCGAAGCACATGAAGTACAAGATCATTCCTAAGGAGAAAATGTCGGATTTTGCAGTAAAGTTCTCATATTCTCCACCAGGAGCAACTTGAGGTGACACGTTAGTTATATTTAAAATTGGGATAGGTAATACTTGATATAGAAACCTTTTCGTAAAACTTCAGGGGCACAATAGGATATTGTGCCAGTTGCCCCTGTTGACTTTCTCGCTGCACTCTCCATTTGCACCTCTCCAAAATCACTTACCAGAACCCTAAGCTCCTGACCGGGGACCCCAGTGTCATTGAGTAAACAATTTGAAGGCTTGAGATCTCGGTGAATGAACCCGTTTGAATGCAAATGGTTTAGACCGGAGGCAATATCTCGAAAGAAGGATATTATCTGCTCAAACGGGAGTTTGCGTGGCTTGTTGAGATCTAAGGATGGATCTGGTTCTCCCCGGGAACGTCGTCTCATTTGGTCCTTCAATTGCTCCTTCGTGGTTTGCTTAGCAGCACTTAGAAGGTAGTTGTGCAGGTCACCCGAATTGCAGTACTTTGTTTCAACAAAGAATTAGCCGTATATTTCATCTGAAGGCGATGGAAATTTTACCTGTTGCAGTATGAACGCACAAGGCACGCTTGGTCCAAAGGCTGCGAAAAAATTTGTCAGTTATCCGCACGAACCCCGGAGAGGTGTGGAGACACACTTGTGAGATGAACGTTTTCAAGCCAAACATGGCGATAGGATACCAAGTTAGTATGCGATAGTTGTTGCAGAAGTTGAACTTCCATAAGAACCTTTTCAAGCCACTTATGATTGTCACCTAAGAAATAAGTTTCAGGGACATGCCAGGAGCTATGGGGTGTAGGTAGGGAGACATACCAACTGGAACACGTTTGCATGCGAAATGGCCCAGCGACACACCATCAAGAAGGTGGCGAACAAGTAGAACCACACCGGTCCCTCCCCTCCCCAATTCTTTCTCTATTACGAAGAACCTAGCAACTCGAATTAGTCGAATATCTCAAGCACAGGCCACTAGATCGTTCCCATGCCTTTCGAAATACTTTGGACTAAACGCTGCCTCACTAATGCCACCCGCAGCCGGAGGCGCACTCCCAGCTACCAACTCTTCATCCATATCACCATCCTCATCCTCTTCTTCTACCTCCGCTCGCGGTAACCTCCGTCTAGTTGGACTTGGCGGCTGTCGTCTCATAGCAGCCTCCGGTTCACCGGGTTCATCTGTCACGGGCATACTACTTGAATAAATTAATTACTTGACTCAAACGATGTTCCGGACATACGGACCCGGAACCAAGCATTCGGAAATATTCCTGATCAACGAAGCCGGATTCCGCCATACTACCGGATGTCCGATGCCCCATACCCGGAGCAGACCGGTCTGGAGAGCCATCCTCTCTGTGCGAATCATCACCGAGGGGGCGTTTGCACAATGGACAGAACTCGACAGGAGCGGGAGGGCTAAGTGGCGAGGATGCTTCGCAGAGAGCTAATTGACGTGATTGAGGATCGTAAACCACGAGTGTCTGCTGGTGGCGACTAGGGTGATTCGTTAGCGGAAGCTCTGGCCAACCCATTATTAAACTCTTTGACGACAGGAACTCACAGAACCACGCTCCGAGTATCGTTTGAGCTGTAAGGAATTAAAGACATGCTGAAGCTAGTGACTTGTTATGAGGGCAGTTATATAAGAAAGCTTTCTTGGCTGGTACTTTGACTTGGCACGTCCCAAGGAAGTCGACACATAAGGGACCAAGATTATTATTCTTTCTTTTTCTTTTTATTGAAACAACCGAGGAGCACAGGTTTTTATAATCATAGAGGGATTATCCCCGATTTTGGACAGATAGAGCAGAGGGTTGCGCAGGGAACAGGGTATTGAGAGGGTGGGTTCAGCGTCCGGTGGGATATGCTGGAATACGGTAATCCACGGTATGCAACACGGATGTCAGGCAAGGGACACCATTCTAACTTGCCAGTAAATTATGGTGAGCTGACAACCACAGAAACTCTATGGCTATACAAATGAAAGCCCCAATTGCAGCCACAATTGCTCACCATGGTTTATATAATCCCTCAGCAACACGGTAGTCGTGTCATGATACACGCCTCTCTTTCGGCGGTGGTGGAGTACTCTAGACAAATCCAGTTGGAGAAATATGCTAAAGGAAACGGTCGGTCCACAAGTTACTTGCTCCAGATACAGCTGATTCCGAAACAGACAATGAAAACTTCAACGCACAGTACCTTCCCAGTTCCAACAAACAGTAAAACAATGAAAATACTAACGGATTGATGTCGTGATGTTTCCCTTCAAATAGAAATTCAGATCTAAACAAAAGGCAATCTGGATTGGTGACGTTGTTGTGAGGCTCAGCGGAACATTCCGCATCCCATAGTGTTCCCTGTCCCCCTCGAGCGCTGCACGTCTCTTTCCCATCCTTTGGTCTCCCTCAAGTCAACCGGGAAGATCATTCCACGGAAGAGGGAGAAGCTCCGTTCATGAAACATCTCCCACCCTTAAAATTCAGTTTACAGCATCAGCGTGGCGTCATTTGTTCACAATTCCAGTCACCTTTATCGCTCGTCAGAAAGCTCAAACTGAGTAACCTTCTAGTCCGCGAACACAAACTACTTGTACAATGGGTCAGATGACCTGCAGCGTCCGAGGGCCACTCACTCAGTGAGCCAATCATGAATCGTCTCCAACTACGCAACTTTTCTTTCTCCCAAGCATAAGAACGGGTTTTACTGAATTGTTGGCACAGTACTCAGTACCGTATGCTATCGCCCAGGCAACTCTTTGTCCCCATTATCTCCAGGGGTCACGTTCCGGATACTTCACCTCCTCAAGAACAACGGTATTGTGGGAGCTCCTCCGAGTGAATGGCCCAACCTCGGCAACGAACCTTGGGGAAAAAACACTTCAGCGTTCCATCATACTCTTAACTTAGCACTATAATTTTCCCGAGGTCGGGGGCACTCTAATCATGTAATCATGGGAGCGTCACCGGAGGTCACTCGTTTATGGAAAAACCTGCAAGACCTCCAGCCGTTTGCGCACAAAAGGACTGCGAAGTTCGTACCAGTATCAAAGATATGAATATCACAAGTAGCTCTCGAACTTGACTTAAAAGGGTCACTTGTTGCAAGTCAAGAGGCAATTATTTCACTCGCTCCCACCGGTATCGATGCACCGGAGCCGGCGGTCTGCTCTCGCGGCGACCTGAAGCCCTCCAATCCGAAATTAACATTTCTCCGATATGATAGCGGTCCGAACACATGTGGGAATTCTAACGAAAGGGCACCGCAACTTTCAATCCAGCTCTTCGAATCGGCCCTCATGGAGGGCTTTCTCCACGGGGTTTTGGATATCCACCACACCCGTCCGTTTTATTCTGTCGTAGAATGTGAGCGTAGATTCATGTCGTTACCCAACAGCAGAGAACTTTTTATACCTCTCAAACAATACAAACAATCGCTCCGCCTCCCTCTCCTTCTCCTCTTCCGACATCTCGCTAAGGGGATCTTTTAGCTCTGGTTCGCGGTCTAAAGCCTGGCCCGTAACAGGGTTGAAAGACCGCCCAAAGGTGTCTGATGAAGTGGAGAGATCCTCTAAAGCTGACTGGGGAAGTTGCACACCAGCACTGAGAAGAAGCCCCGAAGCGTAACCATATCCAACATTACGGACAAACTCCTCCGGGTTCGAATTGGAAACCTCGAACAACAGCGAGGCAAGGTGTTGACGGGTATTCAGAGCTACAGCGGAAGTGGACAGTTGTAATAGGCGAGATGCCAGTGAACCACCCTTCCCTAGTGGATCCTTACGTTGTCTAATGAGATAGTCATTGCGTGAGTCTGTGGTCTTGCCTAACGGGGGAAATAACTTACTCGTCAGAGGGTAGCAATCGTTTCCGCACGCACTCTTTGGCTTGGCCGGAGGAGATCTCAAACACTTTTCTTAGTAATGTTATTAGTGGGACCCCTGCTTCATCGAATAACCGATTGCGTTGATCGTCATGATTATCGTTCGGGCTCCCCACAGAAAGGTCCAGGACCCTGATAAGCCTGGCTACATTACATGTGGGGTCGAAAGAAGGAAATACGCATCCGGGTTGAGATGAAAGATCGAGGTTTAAAAGTGCATTAACCAAATGGGCTATAGATGATTGGAGGGGAAGACTGGGGAGTGTCCTCCTGCAAAGAATCTTGAAGAGACTTGGGATGGACCTATTTTACAGTGGTCAGCGAATTCCCCGGAGAGCAAGGGTTCGTTATGAAAAGCTGACCTTGAGAATAAATCTACTTTCTCAGGGGCAAAATGGGTGATGTTAAACAACAGCTTTGTGGTTTCAGTGAATGCCATATCTTGCATCGCAGATGGTTGTTCATTGCTGTTGACCTTGGAGTATATTTTTCCGTGCCTCATAATCGCCTGCAAAAACATTAGCCTCATCAGGCCCCTTCAACTTCTCCAACAGCGGAATAATTAGTCACGTCATTGAGGTATTTGGCGAGCTTATACTCTTCGAGCCATTTTAATAAATCGGCGGTCGCATAGGTAACCAGAAACAAAATCCGACCCGCCAAGAATTCTTCATGGGATGAATCGTTCTGGCGATATCTCTGTGTAAGCAACATCTTTTACGCCATATGGCAGATCAAGCCCAACTGACCTGGTATCTGTTGACCGCCTTTTCTGCATACCCAAGTTCAACAAATATATGCCTGGTCTCGGGTGCTATCAATAATGCGTTTGCTAGACATCGCATGGCTTCCAGGGCTGATTTATTGTCGGTCCCCTCAAAGGCATGTTTGCATAGCATCTCGATCCCCTGGGACCTCCTTTAGACGACTTCAAGGAAACTGGGGAGGAGTAACTTACTTCCCTCGTGAATATCGGGTCGGATTGGTTCGCATCCCGCCCGAAAACCTTAAGCTCTTCGAGGGCTGCAACTCTCTCTATGCCGAAATAAGACATCAAATCTTGAGCGCCTCAGGGACTGTACTTACTCTCTGGCGGAAGGTCATGAACCCGGAAATCTACCTTCAATATATCAACGAGAGCTTGGACCTGGCTCAACTTGCCTTTTTGATATCATAATCTTGTTAGTAGCCTCCTACCCTATATGTATATATGAGGAGGGGGAAATCCCCCAACGCACTTTTATTGTCGCTGAGCGTTGCCATTGAGAGGCCAGCTCGAGTAGAGCGTAAACTTGAGAACAAGTTATGGAGGAGAGGAAAGCTAGAATTATGGACTGCTGGGGGTTCTGAGTGGATGCTCGTGCACCATTTGCTCCGGGACAATGGAAGAACTAGCCCGTGCACCAGTTGACCACAGGACACCGAATCGGGCGAGGCAGTGGATAGAAAGATGATGGGGGTTCTTTAAGACTGGGGTTACTGGCGGGGAATATTTTTAGTTCTTTGTTCCTCTGATATATAAGTAGGTTGACGGTGCCCTGTTGCTGGGGGGAGCACTGGACAGAGGCTCCCGGTGGCAGAGATTCCAGAATTATTTGGTTAAAGCTCCGGGATGCTCGAGAACCCCAGGCTTCACTGGGCGTTTCCTAAGTTGCCTCCATCGAGACTTATGCCAAGACATGTGAGACCCCCCTCTTTAGTCTAACCAGACAGAGCTACAGCGGATTGGGCAGGGGGCGACTTTAATTCGCGCGTTCATTGGGCCAAAATCCGCGTTAGTTCAGACGCGTCGCGTGGGTCTCATCTTTGCTGGGGCAACCATTTTACCCTGCATAAGGTGACTTCGGTCTCTACAGTAACCGTCTCATCACCCCCCAGTCGGCGCGGGCATGTTACTCCCGCTTCCCTTCGGATCATTCTATGCTATCTCACGATCCCTTCCTGTCGAACTCCCTCCTCATATTCACCCTGACCATAGGCTCGGAAACGCCTCTACTCGGTACTGGTGCACCTGATCGTCTCTCCCGGCGCTAGCTGCGTCCGTTCGCTCCCCACTTTCTCCACATCCGCCATAATCTTCATTGACCCCTTGATCCCATGCTTGAATACTGGGCTGGACTCCATCTCAGCATACTCGGTTGATCATGGTTCAATCAGAAACTACGAGTTCTTATTTCGTCGGAACTAAGTCGCGCTCTGTTGAGCAAACGCAGCCACGACCTCCAACGCCACCAAGAGAGTCGCCTCGATCGGCCTCAAAGACGAAAAGATTGGTAGAAAAGGACTGCTCTGCAGACAGTGCCACCGAGTCTGTTGTGGAGCCCTCTTCGCGAGAGATCACACCTCCCTCCTCCTCCGGGGATAACGCGGCTGGGAAACCCAAGAAGCGTGTCGGCTGGTCCCCGTGGACAAAGTATCATAAACCAGATTCACCATTATCCGTGACTCCCATTCGATCAGCGATAGATCCGAAGTCTCTCAAGTCAATTCTTAAGCCTTACAGTTCTCCGATACCACTTTTTGACGATAAACTGGCTTTCGAGCAGTCCGTTCCTGAGTCTTTGCCCAGGATGCTGGAATCCATTATTCGAGCGCTTGAATCGAGCGAGCGCAGCAAGAAACTCGACGCTTATGTTACATTTTCCAGCAGTATAAAAGCATACGATAGTATACCGGATTTAGCAGCCATGGCAGAGAAACTCCCCTCGTTGTGTTTGTTCATAAAGCGGGATTTTGATGCCAAGCTGGACGAGAGCGGGAAGTCCGACAGTCAGCTCGTTCAGCAAGCTATTAAGGTATTGACCGTCCTCGCCTGGACCTCCCGGTTGGCGGAATCGATGGATGATGGAATGGCATCATGGTTCCTACAAATCGCTATAGAGAGGGTACAGGACAGCCATACACCAAAGCTAATTGTTAATCACCTTCTTCATTTCCTCGCCCAACAGCGGTTCCCACAGCGCATCATGACCCCTGAGAGGTCAAATCAAATTATTACGGCACTAGACAGTCTTGATCAACGCGTTATGGGAAAATCTATTACGAGAGAACGCATCGACGTCTACTTCAAGTTATTGTCGCAGGCTAAGCAGATCATGCTCGCGAGGGTAAATGATTGGATGGACAATCTGTTCGGTGGTCTTTTGAGCAGTGTGAAGGAAGTGCGGAATCGTGCACTAGCCTGTGTGGCGGAAATCCCAAGAGCCTTGGGGAGTGAGAAATCTACTGCCCGTTGCTTGAGTAGCATTTTTAGCAGGGATGTTGGGAATGGCAAACGCATGTTTGAATTGATCAAAGAGCGGCTCGAACTTTTTATTAAGGACGGCGAGGGAGTCTTTGTTGCCCGGATGTGGGGTATTGTTCTTCTGCTCATCCGAGTGACAGCAGCTGAACAATGGGAGTTCTTCACTCACTGGCTGCGGGTTATCGAGGGTTGTTTTAACGTATCGGATAAGGATGTGAAGGTAGAAGCCCAGATGGCGTGGCAAAAACTTATATACGCCATGAATATCGGCCCAACCACAGCCCGCAAACTTTTGGAGCTTCTTTGCAAACCTCTTGGACAGTACCTCGATCCCAAGAATGCGCTATCCAACACTAAGCGGCCACGGATGGCAGCAATGGTCAATATATCGGTTCTACTTTATTACGGTTTTCGCCCCAATGCTCCCCATAAGCAGCTCTCTGAAATCTGGGATGTTGTGGTTGTTGGTTTGCTCGAGCGATTAGCGCTGTCTAGTAAGGATGAGGTAGAAGGTGGATGCAAAATACTTTCGGCCGTACTTGAAGGTTCCCCTCAGAAGCCTTGGTCCGAAGACCGCGCCTTGAAACCTCCTACTATGTCACCAAACGAGCTCCCAAGACTTGACCCTAAGTGGGTTAGATCGAATAGCGCAACAGTCCTGAGGACAGTTGAAGTTGCCCTCCGACGTACCCCGTGGAAGGCTAGTGAGACCGATGATGGCCCGAAGCTCCTTTGGGTCAGGTCCGTCAAGGCGGTGGCCGATGCTGGCAGTAAGGAAATCAAAATATCGGGAGATCTGATTGATGCTGTGGCTCACCTTCTTGCCCTGTTCCGTCGGATATGGAAAGTTGGACCTACGGCCTTCAATGACTTGAAGGACGGGTCTTCGGAGCCCTTCATCAAGAAGTTCGTTTTCTTAGTTAATGCAGCCCTATCTGCTCTCGGGACGTTGCCGTTCACAGAGAAGCTCTTATCTCTTGACGAGGAGAACAACTTTGCACCTGCGGCTACTCCTATGCACAAGTATTCTTCTGGTAATAATTCTACGATCGTGCATTCTCCAGTTTTGCACATGATCTCCATGTTTCTTCTACCTACAGAAGGTGTAATTGTGGATGAGGAGTATCACGACTGTGTTAAAGCTGTTCTCTGGAGATGTTGCAGTTCTCAGGACTCAAGAAGGAAGAAGCTAGCGCTGATAGCTTCATGTGCAAGCTTGCTCCCATACAAAGATGCCGATACTTTAGACCTGGGGATGTGGCAAACACTTGCAGATTTAGTGGCTCTCTCACTGCCTATACCGACCCGGGAGAGGATACTGCTCAGCCCGTCACCAGTGGGAGGAGAGTTCAGAGATGCGGTGAAAGTGCTTGAATGGGGTTGCCGGTATGCTTCTGCTCCAAAGAGATCCACTCTGGGTTAATTGCACCATCACTTACGTTCCGTATAGTTATGATCTGCTGGGGTGGGAGTCACTACTAAGTCGGCTTTGCGAAACTGTGCAAAACGAACAAGGCGATGTACACCTTGCCATCGGGATTATTGACCCTCTCGCCGAGATCATTAAGCATCAATCGACCGACCATGACAGGTTAGTTCCTTCCATTCTACTCGAACAAGTAACTAAATCCTTCCTCATAGGGGTCTTCAACAGTGCAAATATCTCATGAGCAGGGTCCATTACTCCAAAGCCAAGTCCCACGGAGACGGCGCCACTCGTACACCCTTCGCAGCACTTGGGCGGAAACCGAACACGGCTGAGTATGTAACCATTTGTCCAGCTCACGAATTTTGCGCTAACCTGTCGATTTCAGCCCGCTTGAGAAGTTATATGATCTTATAGATCATTTTCTACGCAAATCTTATTCTTCTAGTGCCGAGGGAAAGGCCCTGTCTGAGGCAATAGCCTTATTAGATATCCTGGGCGATCTTTCTAATAGATGCCCCTCGATATCCCTTGCAGCCCTGCTCAAGCGCACACAGGAGGGGGTCGGCGTGTGGGTCCTTGACTTAGACCACCTGATTAAGACGAAGGTTGCTATTATATCCTCTACGTTTTCCTCTATTCTTATTAATATTTCCTAGCACGGTGAGGCCGTTGCACAGGTAATCAGCGCCTGGAGAAAAATTACCGATGCTATCGCTCGTCTCCCGCAGCACGACGGAAAGATTCTCGCAGACCTAGCCACCCTCATCAAGTGCGGTCTTGAGAGTAGGCTCAAACCTATAGTTAACCTTTCAGTCAAGTCATGGAACTTGACTTTCGGCGAACAGGAATCAATTATCTATCCTAAGCGTGTCCGGGGGGCGCTAAAGAGGCTTCGCCCTGTTGCTGACCTAAAGCTTCCCTCGTTCCTTGACGAGTTGGAAGATGATGTATGGACCCCTATCTTACACTGCCTTTAGTCCACTTGCTGACCTGTCCTAGATTATCCCAACCCCTCCACAATTTTCTGAATCTCAGGAGGGGCTTGAGGAATTCATGCAAGAGAAGGAGGCTTGGACGAGCCCAAGCCCTTCGCGGTCTGTGGCCTCACCCTTTAAGCCCCAATCGAGGGTTTCTTCGCCCCTGACGGGGCCAAGGGAGGGTTTATTCGGTTCTCGTCCAAGGCGATCACTCGGCACGAGAAATCTACAAAACCCCCCCGCTCGCCCTAAGCATATGGATTCCCAAATCGAGTTTGCCGCTATTGAAACTGACCTAATCGGGAAAGACGGTTTTATTTCAAATTCACAGCTTACTGAAAGACAGAAGGAAGTAAAGGAAAGGCAGTCAGAAACCGCAATCCTCTTCGGAAACCTAAATGCCAATTCCACCAGCAAGCGTGGTAGGTTACCAAGAGATCCTACTAAGGCCGCTAGTAGCCCACAAAGTACACGACTTTCTCGTAGCCCTGCGAAGGATTCCGGGAGATCGCGTTTTGGAGAATCACTTCAAGCCAAATTTAGTCAATCGAATTTCCCAGAATCACCATTACCCAAACATACTGGTAATCTCAAGGCGCATGCACCTGAGACTGATCCTCCTGCAGCTCCAACGGCGGATACTGCGGTAGATTCTCCCGGAGCCCTGGACACAGATGAAATGATCGATGTCGTAGGCGTTGGCGTCTATGAGGTCGAAACGAGGCAAGGCTCCTCCGGTTCACCCTCTGTTGAGGACGACAATTTCGTTGACGCCCCGGAAGACCGCATATCTAGTGGGGAGGAGGTTGAAGAAGTGCCCAAGAACTCAGCCAACATTGTCGTTGAAATATCTCATGTCCAAGGCAGCAGGGTTTGCGGCGAGGAATCCCACCCAGAATCTCGCTTTAGCCCAGCGTCTTCAGAGAACGAAGAGATCTCAAAAGTTTGCGAGCCAAATACAGAATCAGATAGCCCTCAAAGTCGGGAATCAAGCCCTGGGGCCCAAATAATGACGGAGGAACGTGCAGCATCCAAACTTCCAGCAAAGCGTAGACGCGCACGCGCACGACCAAGGCGACGCTCCCTTGTACGAAAGGCCTCCGAATCACCAAAGAAAGTGTCGGGCACTATCACCGTCGCCGAACCCGACGCATGGCAATCAAAGTCACCCGCATCGTCCCACCATGCGTATGGCGAACACACCGAGTGCCCACCTCAGGTATCCCAACCCAATCAAACCTCATCCCCATCCAAAAGTTCCAGCTCTCCTAGAAAACCAACAACTTCTGCAATGTCACCACCAATCACTAGGTCATCTGCGAAGAAGGCTGCTATTGCAAAGCCCCCAGCTTCCACTAGATGTTTGTTGTCGAAACGCTCCCATCACTTTTCACACATTTTACTGACCGGAATTAGCTACTCGCAAGCGCAAGCTAGAGGCTGTCGATCATTACGGCCTAAATAACGATGAGAATCCGAGCCGTGAGTGCCCTTGTCTTGAGTGCCATGAAGTATCTTGCTGACTCAAGACTCAGCCGAGAATTTAGCAACGCCTACACCAAAGCGTCGCAATACCGCCAGCTTACCCGTAAGACGTACCCGCTCGTCTGCCAAAGAACCATCCAAAAGTAATGACAACGGTCCAGATGTTTCATTCATTAAGGAGACTCAGCTCAGTGTCAATTCGTCAATTAACAACTCCCAAGACCACGTTGATGAAATTGTGGGGCCTACTCCCTACGTTGGATCGAAGGCGCATACCCTTTTCACGGAAGGAACTCCGAAATCCAGCCGAGGAAAGGGCCGATTAGACTTAACTGATGCATGGACCGAGACTGTCGAAGATACTCCGAGGACCCCTGACACTCCAAGACGCCTGAAAAAGTCGCCAGGCACCCCTATGCAGTCTCAGGATGCTAGGCCCATGATTGGGTCTGAAAAGGTGGCGGATCCGGGGCCATTCAGGAGAATTGGAGCTTGCAGAAGCTTGTCCACAAAGCAACTAGAAACCATGCCAGAGCCTACTGGTGGAGAAACTGCTATTAATGGACTACAGAAGGCATTGAGAGCCTTGGAGAGCGCAAGTCTCTCGCCAGACGAATGCCGTAGAGCGGAGAATATCCTATTTGATGCATTCTCTCAACTTCGTCGAAAAGGGACAAAGTAGATAAATTTATTTCTATTGTGTACGATCTTCTGTACGATAGCCATGTTCCCTTATCCTGCAAGTTTCGTCCTGCGTTACGGAGTCCCCTGTCCTGGTTTCCGTTCTTCTCGGTCTTGTACCACTTTATTCCTTCTTCATGGTATGATTCACTGTGGGGCGGGGCCACTTGTAATATTGCGCTTGTTCCTGATTTAGATGGTTCTTTTGTTCATAGGACGGTTATTACTTTAGTTTGACAGCTATCCTGATGCTAGGTTTTTAGAATTTCGTTGTGCTGAAGTTACCACTATGGTATTCTATCTACCATGGAGAAGTTGTCGCAATGTTGGAGCTCAAGTCGATCATATTCTAGGGCCGTCAACTAACTTACTCGAGCACAAGCGCAGCCTATAGCTCAGGTTTCCCAGCACAATCTAATGATAATGTCACCTATGGTCCCCATGATGCTATGAAGCCCAAAGTCAGGCGCGAAGCTTAGATAAAACCTATTGGGAGCCGTTGGCAAGGCTCAAAATGGGTAGGTTGTGTGGAGTACCGGTATCAAAATATCATATTACTGTTGACTATCGGTATTGTAACTTATCATACATACTGCGCAGTACCGGTATGGACCACGGTTCGGCTCGCCCATGTCATGCGGGTTTCCTGCGTTATGCCCTAGTCGGCGGTGGAGCCCGACTGCCGGCGGGGCAGCCTACGAGTACCCAGGACCCTAGCAGTGTGGTACAATATATATGATACTGTATTATCATACAAGCACAGTATGATGCGGTATCATATCAAACTCGAGCACAAAAAGCCAAACAGAACCCCACTTCAAAGCCACCCCCCGGCCCCCGACCCACCGCACTTGGTCATTCCCTTAGAACCGTTTCTATTATTTTCATATCACACCTACCCATAGGGAACATACCATTAACCATAATCTTAAAGAACAGTTTCTAAGCACCATGGTCGAACGCAGCAAGAAGCCGGTTCCAATTCCAGTGAGCCCTACTAGGGCAGAAAACCAGGGATTCGTTTCCGAGAGCGATAGGGTCAAGGTACCTCTCCAATCCTCTCTCGTGCCGCCCTCTCACCCGCAATGAGGATGGTATTCCGAAATTAATGTCGACACTAGTTATCTCTGCCCACCGGGGAATCCGTCGAGATCTTGCTACACGGTGCTACGGTAATTTCCTGGGTGGTCGACGGGCAGGAAAAGCTGTTTCTTAGCGAAAAGGCAACCCTCGGTAAGCGGTTTCCCCGCAATTGATGGATGACTTATAAAATCGAATGGTGGGACGGGGTGGGATGAGATGAGATGGCTAACGAGTAGCGGTTCTGCAGATGGATCGAAGCCGGGTATGTCGTTACTTCCTTTCACTTTTATTGTTCCTGTCCTCATGCTGACTCCCCTTGTGGTTACTAGTAAGAGGTGGGATTCCATTAGTTTTCCCGGTACGCATGCTTCATACACTCGCCTCCGTGAAATGTATATGAGCGAAGCTAACTGGAATACGCTATTCTAGGTGTTCGGAAAACCCACGGAAGGGCCCGTCGCTGCCCTCCCACAGCACGGATTCGCGAGACTCTGCAAGGTCAGCATCATTATTCCTCCCCTCCTTCGACAGCGCTAACATCATGAACAGTGGGAACTGCTCGGCCGGACCAGTGAAACCGATACCTCAATCCAGGTTGACTTTGGCCTCGGTCCGGAGAACCTTACCGCCGACCAGCGCGAGCAATGGCCCTACATCTTTGGCCTGATTTACTCCGTGAACCTGAGCAAGAACAGTCTCGAGACAAAAATGCTCGTCAGAAATGAGGGATTCAAGACGTTTGACTTTAACCTTTTGTTCCACACATATCTTCGTATTCCCGTATTCCCCCCCGGCTTGATATTCATAGTGATGGTATTGGCGGCGTTTGTATTGGGGCTAATGGGGACAGGATGTAAACAATCTCACGGTCGAAGGTCTCAAGGGCACCAACTATAAATGCAAAGTGACACAATCTGAAGCCGTTGAAGAGGCGGTTGAGCTCCCCATCAACTCTGAGGTTGATCGTGTATATGCGAACGTCCCCGGCACCGTCCAAGTGAAGGACAGAGGCCAAGCGATCTTCAAAATCGACAGGACCAACCTGGAAGATGTAGTTGTCTGGAATCCCTGGGATGGAGCGAGAAAGATGGCGGACTTTGGGCCCGAGGATGGATATAAGGACATGAGTAAGCGCCCCACTGCTCTGCTTTCAAGAATAAGAGTGCTGATGCCATTGGGGCTATTAGTCTGCATTGAGGCGGGAGCTGTATCTAAATGGCACACTCTCGAGCCAGAGAGCATCTGGGAAGGGAGCACTATTATCAATCTTTGACTGGCGGTAGAGTCTGGTGATGCGCCAGGGGGTGGGATTATTGGGGGAGGGCAAGATCTAGGCTGTGAAGTAAGTCCCTAGTTGGCTATATAGTACTCCATGACCATTTCAGTTATGACATGAGAGAATATGAAAAAAATAAAAAATGTTGGGAGTTTTTCACTGTGCGCCTTGTTGTATTTCGTCTTGTTTCGCCCTCTGTAGTATCGCATCGTATCGTATCGAACTCGTCTCTTGTAACTATACTCAGTGCAATCTAGTTGACGATTCAAGTCCTACATTGCACTATGATAAACCCAACGCCGCAATACCCCACCGCCTGAGCAAGACCTCTCAGCCTATCACTTATGGTGCGAGGCGTGTAAAACGTACCCCTGGGTGGGTGCACCCATATAATACCTGTATTTAAAGAGGATTGAGGATTCAAGTTGTAAGTGCCCAAAAGGAATTTGCAAGGTTGGAAGTTCAACTTGGACTCAGATTCAGCTTTTTGTATATACAAGTATTCGGCCGTGTGTTGCTACAATGCTCTATAAGTTTTAGAAGTAGAGTTAATATAATAGTCATTATAGATATTAAGATCACTCCACCAAGTTCTATTACCATTCTAACCTATAAGAAACTAAAATATGAGTAGCTGTTAAATTATATATGGGAAATGTTTCCTGTTAACAACTTGAACGATTACTGCTGGCCCTTACTTGTGCCAAGGTTATAGCTACCTCAAGGCACCTATGGACGTATAGCACTATGCAGTGGTCTCACAGTCAAACACCGACTCACTAACAACACTGGAGTAACAGATGCCGACTATACAGGTGAATTGAAGGTTGTCATGATCAATCAGAATGACGAAGAATATAAGGTGGGAAAAGGCAAGAAAGTTGCACAACTAATAATCGAAAAAATCAACCAACAAGAACAACATGAAGTGGAAAGCCTGGCCAAGACCACCAGGGGGACCAAAGGGTTCGGCAGGACGGACCAAAAGAAAGCAACTAAGGAAGAACGACCAAGGATTAAGATCAACAGGATATCAGCATGAGCTTTGGGAAAATTCTACCGTAAGGGAGAAATGGCAGGAATCCTCAAATGCAATCTCCAGGAAACAGGAACAAGCCTAGCCAAGATTAATATCAGTACAGAACTCGCGATAAAAAGTTGACCCCAAACGAAAGATGAACAACTGGACAAGTTGGTACCACGGGAATACTACCACCATTTGGACTTATTCCAAGAAAAAGAATCCACCAAACTACCCCCATGTCGATCAGGGGTAGATTTGGAAATCAGCTTTGAAGAATGCAGAAAAGGGTTACCACAGAAAAGAATATACCCCCTAGGTGAAATCGAACTCGAAGACTTAAGGAAATATATTTAACAAAACCTGGAAAGAGGATGGATCCAACCCTCCTATGCCAATGGCAGATCACCTATTTTATTTATCAAAAAAAAGCATGGGAAACTGAGGTTATGCATTGATTACTGAGCACTCAATGAAATAACCAAAAAGGATCGATACCCCCTACCTCTAATAGGAGAAGCATTGAATCAACTAGTGTCAGTCAAATACTTCACCAAACTGGACATTTGGGATGCCTACCACCTCGTCAAAACAAAGAAAGGAGACAAATGGAAAACAACCCTCGCCACGCAATACGGAACATGACAATACCTGGTTATGCCCTTCGGGCTAATCAATGCACCAGCCTCTTTCCAAAAATGGATCAACAGAGTCTTCCACAAGTATCTGGATAGATGCTGTATTGTCTATTTGGATGCTGTACTCATATACTCCAAAGATATAGAACAACACTACAAGGATGTCAGCAACATAATGGCCAACATCAAAGAATCAGGAATGAGATGCAAACCTAGCAAGTGCGAATTCCACAAAAAAGAAACTGAATACCTAGGATTCATCATCAATAGAGAAGGAGTCCCAATGGATCCTGTCAAAACTAAAGTGATATGGGAATGGGAATACCCAAAAAACAAAACGGACATTCAATGTTTTATCGGTTTCTGCAATTTCAATTGAAGGTTGATAGAGGGTTTTAGCTGAACAGGTAAGCCACTATATAACCTAACCATAAAGGATGTCAAATGGGACTGGGGAGCCAAAGAAAGAGAAGGGTTTGATGAACTCAGAACCAAAATCAACAAAGGACCAATATTGGTGCATTTCGACCGAAAGAAAGAAACAATGATCGAAACCGGCACTTCAAAACACATATGCTCAGGCATACTATGGCAAAAATGCGAGGATGGACAATGGAGACCAGTGGCCTTCAGATCCAAAATGATGACCCCAGCAGAATGCAACTATGATATGTACAATAAGAAACTATTAGGGATAGTTTAAGCATTAAAAGAATGGAGGAGATACATACAGAACAATCAGGCCGAGGTCAAGATACTCACGGACCACAAAAACCTAGTACCCTTCATGACCACGAAGGAACTTAATGGACGACAAATATCATGGATGGAAAAGCTCAGCACTCACAACATCAAAATCGAATATCAGCCAGGAAAAGAAGGGGGAAAACCCGATGCCTTAACCAGACGATCAACGGATCTACCAAAAGACCCTGAAGATGAAACAATCAAACAGAAATAACAAATACTACTACCAAAGGAAAAATACTTCCAACCAGAGGAAGAAGACAGCGGATACGAATTACTGAACGAGATCAACACCCGAACGATATTGGAAGAAGATATCAGGAAAGAAAGTTCACAGGACAAGGACATCAAGGAAATAAGAGAAAACTAGCACAAGGAATAAAGGAAACCAAAGGCATAGCCTTAGGATTGTGCAAATTGAGAGATGATTACTTATGGTATGAGGGAAAAATGAGGATACTGGATAAAGAAGAATTACACACCCAAATCATACGACACCATCACGACCTCCCATACGTGGGCCACTGAGGAACAGCCAAAGCTACCGAGTTTATTAGTCAACAGTATTACTGGTCAAAGATAAGGGAAGACATCAAACAATATGTGAAAAATTGCGACATGTGCCAACGGACCAAAGTGGTTCTACATGCACCTTATGGATGACTCAAATCCAAGGAAGCACAAGAAAAACCCTGGAAATTGATCTCATTGGATTTCATTACAGACGTACCAAGGTCAAACGATCAAAACTCCATACTTGTGGTAGTGGATCGTCTGACTAAAATGAGTCACTTCATAGCATGCAGAACGGATGTAACGGCATGGCAGTTCACAATGCTATTTCTAAAAGAAATTTACTGACTACATAGATCACCAAAAGACATTATTAGTGAAAGAGGATCACTATTCACATCGGAAGTGTAGAAAGAAATCACAGAAAAATTAGGAATCGAACGACGTCTGAGCGCTGCCTTCCACCCTCAAACAGATGGACAGACTGAACGGACCAATGGCATATTGGAACAATACCTGTGTGCATACATCAACTATCAACAAGACAATTGGTATGAATGGCTACCAATGGTGGAATTCGTATACAACAACGGCAAGCAAGAAACAATTAAGACGATACCCCTTTATGCAAACTATGGCCTACATCCGGAACATGAGACCAGCGGTCATACGCTCAAAGGAAAGATAACAGACAAAAAGGATATGCATCAACTACATGATACATTACGAATGGAAATGGTCGTGGCACAACTACGACTAAAAGAAGAATACCATCGTCACAGAAAACCCGATCCAAACCTCAAATCAGGAGATATCGTTTGGTTACTACCATGCAACATCAGAACCACACCACCAATGAAAAAATTGGATTACAAGAAAATTGGACCATTCAAAATATTAGCAAAGATAGAAAGCCACGCTTATAAGCTTGACCTTCCACCCTCGATGAAGATGCACAATACATTCCAGATCAGCCTCCTCGAACCATATCAAAACAATCCTCTACCTTCACAAGAAAAACTACCCCCACCACCAATCAAAATAGAGGGTAAATCGGAATACGAACTCGGGGACATAATCGACTCTCGATTACACTACAGTCGCCTACAATACAGAGCGAAGTGGATGGGATACTCACCAGAACACGATAAGACCTGGTATCCAGCCAAGAACTTCGATAATGCACAAAATGCCATCCAACAATTCTATTGAAAATACCCACGCAAACCAACAGCCAACAGTTGAGGACGTATACGAATCAGGATGTACAATGCCTACATTATACAGAACAGACTCCTACAGTTGGGAATACTCCAAGGGCAGCGCTGCCATACTAATACCATTGGCCCTCCAGAACAGCCCCGAACATGATGTGTTCAGACATATTACACCAAGAAGCCTAAGGTATTAAGCCTCAACACCAGTCAAGGAAGAGCCTACAGATGAAGACTGGGTAAATCTGGTGGATTTACCCCTGTCAAGAACACGAACACCTGAAAGGGAACATGTGAACCTGTCATCACAGGATTCTACAATGACTAGTGCCAAGCATACAAAAGCGAAAAGGAAGGCTCGAGATATGGGCCTTAGAAAACCAACCGATAGCTACCCAAGACTTTGCCCTTGGGATCACCTGCGAGATCCCCAACCCCAGAGCCAGCAGCTCGAGTACAGTACATCAAACCAACTCTGAGGATGGAGTCGAGGAGACGGGGGGTCCAAAAATCCAAATGCCCTAAGGCGAAGAAAGCTAAGAAAGTATCTTGGCAGGAAGACATGGAAGAAGCTACACTGAGGTTGCCTCAGGCAGAGGATCAGCAGGTGGTGATAGCGGAGTTAGAAAAAGACCTCCCGCTAACACAAGTGTTGCTGGAGGGAATGAAGAGAGAAACAAAGTTGAGGGTAAGCCAAGTCGAGAGAGAGCTGGCGAAAGAAGGGGGAGCGAGGAGTGCATTACAAAGAGAGTTAGAAAGATAGGCGGAAGAGGCTCAGAAACATTCAGACAGGCCCGCACGAGCAGTCCGAAGGATTAATCGTAGCTACTACTATGGGAAAGTAGCTGGAGGAACCATTACGGGGGATGGAGAAATGAGTGAAGCCCCAAGGGACTCGGGCTGAGGCAGCGGGGAGCTAATGTCACAAACTGTGAATAAGCAAGGCAGATTTTATATAGCTTAGAATATCAAGCTATCGGTAGGTTCGTATTTCAC